ACTAATGCCCTCGATTGGTCTCTGTGTGTCATTCAAGCTCGGGAGGGTGTGTGTAGATAGTTAACTTAATCTAAATTATCTCAGTGGGTCTCAAACGGTTTGGTCACCATTTATGTAACACATATTTCCATTTATGGGGGGAGTGATTAGCAAATATTATGCATGAATAATAATTTTAAAAAACGTTAACTAGGTGAAAAAAGGTAAGATAAACTATTAAAACGTGTTGAGAGCTAAAACTAGTCTTTGCTGCTGCCTCAAAGAGGAGCAGGAGGAGAGGAGAGAGACAGGTGAGGCTGGTTCAGGAGCACAGACACACTCACAACTATAAATGAACCAAAAACAAATAAATAAACAAGTTTCAATGTTTTTTCATATTGGATATGATATGTTATTGGTTATGGCCATGTTTTTATGATTATTTAAATGTATACAGTTATGTTTCATATGGGTGTAGTCTCTTTATTTCCCTCTCAAAATGCACCAGATTGATGCATTTAAGTCCAACATTTAAACAAAAATCTTACCGGGGGAGCATGCCCCCGGACCCCCCTATAGGATTTGAGGTACACCCCCACTTAAAATATGTTCACATAGGTTCCTAAATAGATTTGCACATTTTAAAAATAGTAACCCATGTCCATATGTTTATTTTTGGGTAGATTTAGAGGGCTATCACTACGGGCAGCAACGCTATAACAATTGACAAATAGATCCAGCAAAATGGCACAAACAACTGGTAGTGGCCTAGCTGGGTGTATAATTCCCGGCCTGACTGGGGCCGTTATTGTCCCAGTCCGGCCCTGGTGGCACCACTTGTGTTTCCACCGCTCAGAGCCCAACTGGTGCTGCCGCTGCTGCATCATGACATCACCGTTTACGTCGCTGACAAATTTCATCAAATGTCATCTGTGGAAGCCGTAGCGCTGTAAACAGCACGACCAATCATCTGAGCCGGCCCGGCTAAAATAACTGGATGGCCTACCTGCCTGTCAGCCTTCCATCTCCTGCACAAACTTATCTCGTGCCCTCATTGGTCATGTGTGTGTGTGTGTGTGTGTGTGTGTGTGTGTGTGTGTGTGTGTGTGTGTGTGTGGTGTGTGTGTGTGTGTGTGTGTGTGTGTGTGTGTGTGTGTGTGTGTGTGTGTGTGTGTGTGTGTCTGTCTGAAGGAAGGGGCAGATTTTTCCGGTTGTGTACTTTCAAATTCTAGCGCACTCGAGCTGGTTTCTCCATTCTTACCTACCCTACCTTTAAGGTATTGTTCCTGCATTAAGTCATGCATGAGATACTATTAATCCTTATACATTACTGATAGTTCATGAAGTACTGCATGAATGAATTCATGCTTTTTCATGCATTAAGTCATGCATGAATACCTGATGATTAATGTACCCTTACCATAAAGTGTTACCTTGTTAGGTACCACTTTACAATAAGATTACCCTTATAAAGGATTCATAAAGGGTTTATAATTAGGTTATGAATTAGGTTGTAAACACTTTATTAATCATTAAGAACCATTTATAAACCAGTTCTAACATAGACATCAACACAGGCTCACTATTTGGCAAGATGACTAAACCTTATATTGGCTACTTAGCGAGAATCAACTCAGTGAACAACAGATACCAAGGATGCTGGCTGATGAAGAAGACAAAGTAAGCTAAGTAGCCAATATAAGGATTAGTGGTACCCAGGGCCGCCCCTCCCTACAGGCCAATCACGCAGGCTGCATGGGGCCCCGCCTTGTGCAGGGGGCCCCGCCCAGAGGGCCTCAGCTGCTGTGCGCAGTTCTCAGCTCAGTTCTCCGCGCACCCCCCGCGAGAGAGAGGTGAAAAGGGGAGCACGTCTGTAACCCGACACCGTTGCAATGAATCGACATCTGACCAATCACGGCTTTGATACGGCCAAGTGCAGGTGAAGAGATGTCGGGGAAAAGACAGTTTCAGTCCGGCGCAAGCAAGAGGGGAAAAAAAATAAAACATGAAGAAACTAGAGCACCACTCGAAGGTGGGTTATTGTATGAGTCAAATGTACAACTTGCGAATGTTGTATAAGTCAAATTGCCATATTAAAACATCAGCTGCAATTCACGACATGAAGAAGGCAGTCTCTGCAGAGCATACAGGCTAATGGAGATGCAGTTATTTCCAGCATTCTTTATTTAACATTAATTCAAGTATGTTATGCCTTTTATCTGCTAATGTACAGGAGGAAGAGTGATACACTGTCTGTCTAGTTGGCTTACATAACAGTTAAAGTTTGCAGCCTAAAAAACATGGAGAATTTGTTCCCCTTTTATGTCAATTTGCACATTTCATGGTGATGCTCAGCCTCTCCCCTTAAGGCAAGGCAAGGCAAGTTTATTTATATAGCACCTTTCAACACAAGGCAATTCAAGGTGCTTTACAAAAATGAAAGACATTCAGACAAAGGCATTTAAAAACAGTAAAAGATAATAAAAGAAACATTAAAAGAAAAAATACATGAATAAAAAGTAAACTTTTACTCCTAACAGTCATCATCATGTCAACCACAACACAGAGAAATACTGATAGAAATGTGTGTGTAGTTGTTGATACATTGCTGACAGAGGGAACTACGTTTGAATACAGATTTAAGTTTGTGAGCATGTCATAAGCATGTTTTGTCTTGACTATACTACAACTATATTATAATAAAATAATATAGTATTTATATTATTGAATTGATTATGATTATTATTATTAGTAGAAGTAGTTTATTTGCATTCATTATATTTTAATCTTTTTGAGGCTAGTATTTGGCAGGAAATGCAGACGTATTCACCGGTAAACGCATACTGAACGACATACATGCACATTTACCATTTACCTCACTGTATACAAAAGTAACTGTGTTGATAATAATAATAATAAACAGGAATTATATTTGCAAAGTAGCCTACTTTGTTTTCCAAAAACAACTGTCGGTTGGGGGGGGGGGGGCCTCATCTCACAATGTCGCTTGGGGCCCCAAGTTGGCCAGGGGCGGCCCTGGTGGTACCTTTTATACAGTCTATGAGCGGTACAGATAAATGTGGGCTCACTATTTGGCAAGCAACCGGTCACAGTTGCCCTGTTTATCTCATGTCTTATAAAAGCTTATTGATGATTTATAAAGTGTTCACAACATAATTAATAAATGAATTACAAACTATTCGTAAACCCTTTATAAGGGTAGTCTTATTGTAAAGTGGTACCCCCTGCAATTGTTGGGGGTTAGCGGTATCATGCTAAATAGGGGGGAGGCATGTGGTGCAGTGGGTTGAGCGTTGGTGTTGGGATCAGGGGGTCACAGGTTCAAACCCCGCTGCAGTCAACATGTCGTTGTGTCCCTGGGCAAGACACTTCACCCCAAATTGCTCCTGTGGGGATCGTCCACAATATTGAGTATGTAAGTCGCATGTGACATGTAATGTAAATATCACGTGTTTTAATCTAATGATGTTAAATACAGCAATGCGATTTTTCAAAAGCTGTGAACATTTTTGCGTTTATTCTTCTTAGTTGATGATTTGTAAGAATAATCTAACCTCAATAGTGTCAGGCACCATTTAATACAGCAATGTTATACAATTCAGAATGTTTTCCAACACTACATTGAGGACAAATACATGAAGTATAACACTTGATTCTCTGCAGGAAGAGGAGCAGTTCTTCATAGATCTGACCGCCAAATACCTGGAGCCTCTTCCTGAGAACAAAAAGAAACAGGAACAAATGACGAATTAACTCAAGGAGTTGAGAAACAAGGTACATTTGTCTTCAATGGGTGAATTAATCAGCTTTTAGTGTTAGTGAAATGATGATGCTGGGAAATGTATTAAGGTTGCCAATCCAATAATTTGTACACTTCTTTTTGTTTACAGATGACCTTTGTTTACTTCATCTGCAACGCCCTCTGGCTACTAGCGACCTTCACTCTCCAGCTCTTAGAAAATACTTTGTTTATCCAGGTGCCAAAGATTCATCTTAACTTGGAGTACACTGGAGAGTACATCTTCATCGACCCTGTGAGCTTCATGTTCATCCTGGCCTTCATCTTCCTGGTAATAATCCAGTTCTTGGCCATGCTGTACCACAGGTAATCCCCTGTTTTCAGATCAAATCAAATGAGTAGGTGTTTTATGTTCATGTTCTAGAAAGATTGGGTGTTCCTGTATAACTTTCTTGCTCTATTGTTGTTGTTTTTTTCAGAATATACACCCTGATCCATTATGTGGCCTACCTGCAGGGCCGGCCCTTGGCATAGGCAGTATAGGTGAATGCTAAGGGTGCATCAACCCATCGGGGGCGCCGAAAATTGGGGAGAAAAAAAACATTTGAAATACTTTTTTATTTCCTAAGAACACAATTTCCCGATTTTGGATCAACAAAGTAAATTGTATTATCTTATACTAACAGAAAAAAACAAAATCATATTAAGATTCCACCTCAGCCGCTTAATTTACACTAAGTTGTGTGAAATGGCCAGCCAGACGTCACCATACACTGTTAAAAACAACAGAAGGACTCAGATGACTCCAGGGAGCCTTTAACCCTTCCTGTGTAATTAGCTCCATTGCTGAGTATTAATTGTTAAATGAGTGCTAGTTTTAATTTTGAGTGGATCGCTCAGCCTACCACAGGTATGGTGCATAGTGTTAATGTGCCAGGGAACTGTAATGAACTCCTTCATTCACAGATGGGAGTGTATGCATGTGCAGTACATCTAATAAGGAAAGATAGAATACCATACATTGTATTTTGTTTGTTTTTCAGTCTGCTGCAGTCTTTATATATTTGCTCTTACTAGAAATGTATTTTCGGTATGTTTGTAATGTTTTATCTTTTCAGAGGAGAAACTACGAAGCTGGATATTACCATGTTGTTTCATAAAAAATAAGATCTGTTTTTTACAGGTGTGTTGGTTTCTGTTAAGGCATATCATTTAACAGTTACAATTAAAATGTATTTAAAATGACTAAATACGGAGACGGTTTCATCCTCAAGCCATTTATGTTGCTGAGCTATGTACTACTTACATTATGCCAAAGGTTTACGACACATTTCATACCAAGAGACAAACTCATTTCTTGAAGACTTTGTACTATAGAAGCAGATATAACTACATTCATTGAGTTTTAGCCTCAGACAAAGCACCAAGTTGCTGTTTTGGAGAGAAAATTACCAAACTGAAATCTTTGAAAACATTTTTTAAAATGTATTATATTATGACAATGCCAATTATGCACTTGGGTATAGCCAGCGAATAGACAGCAAAAGTAAAACTCTACAACAATCTTTAAATGATCTTGGACCACCATCACTGGTAACGTTGCAGCTTTTTGCCTCTTTGTTGACACCTTTGCACAATAAAACAGTTTAAATATGATGTGAAATAATTTTGCATGTTACAGTATTTAAAAGGTAATACAGTATGATTATATGATACAGATGTTTTGAAGAAATGTACAACAAAAAAGTGTGAAATAAGCTGATTATTCCTCTATGCTGTGAACTTTAAATCAAAGTGTAACACTGTGAGCTTCATCATAATACTGCTGCTACAGTACTCAGCAGAACAGAAGTACCATAAAACCTTTAAAGACAAACAGCAGGATGGCATATATGTGTATCTTAGTGAGGAGAAAGTAATCTGAAGAGCTGGTACTGCTGTGTTTTATGAGCCTGTTGCTAAGGACTGATGTTTGTGGCGTTGGTCAAGGCTTGATTTTTATTATTTTCCATATGCATGTGTCCCATAACAGAAACAAATGATCTGCCCACAGAGCATACAATTACACTCATGAAACCCTTTGGACTCTGATGGTAGAACACAAAATGTTGATGGTAGAACACATAATATGCATATAAACCAAATGACACAAAGGCATCTTGCTTTCGCTGCTAGCTTTACATTTCCTCCTTTTCCATGGCTAATCTCCCATATTACTGGACCAATAAGATCAATCATTGTTGAACTTATTTATCACTGTATGATAAAGGACTTCTTGGGTTGTGATGATTCAAATGTTTTGAAAAATGTATTTTATTGTCTGTTTAAAACCGTCATGAGTGGTGCTGTCTTTACTCTATGTTGTGTGTGCTTATAGCAACAGCTAATAGCTAACGGAACTTCTGAACTGACAACATATTCTGTCGTTTCTTAGCTGTGTTTTGCTGTAAGAAACCAGCTCATTAAGTGGCCTGCTTTGAAAGAACACAAGCCACTTGGTTTGGTGGTTGGTTGGTGGATTACAAATTAGAGAAACCACATTTTTGGTTTGGAAGGGTTTCTCCTCAAATTAAACAAATATATTTCCGTGCTCTTGTGGGACAGTTTTGGGCTGGTGTTGGAAAAGTTAACCTGGAGACACACATGTCAGAGATCTGCACTCTAGCTCGTCTAGTTTTTCAAGTGGATTTTATGTACAGTTTCATTTCATCTTTCCTTCAGTGTTATAACTGGCTTTCCCTTGAATAGTCTCACTTCCCCCTCTCGTCTTTCCTATTCCTCCAGACTAACCACAGTTCCACTTTGCATCTGTGACATAAATAACAAACATCACAACACAGTTTACAGGAAATTGTGAATCCGATCTCAGTATATCAACATCGATCCGATGATTCTCTTCATCATGAGGTCTTCAGTTTAGACATAGGATTGCTTTGACCAATATATACAAATACAGAGAAAGTCAGTTAAAAACGTTATACTACTCCTTTTATTATAACCAACCTTTTTACCTTCTAATATATCACCGTGGCACTTAATACAACTTTCATGGTCTGCAAGAACAAGTACTATGAATACTTCTATACATATGAACATACAATAAACAGTAAATTAGACTTTCTTGGTGGATATTTTCAAAAGAATGCCCTGTTAAAAAAATATAGGGACACAGCATATATGACAACCGGGGATGTTGGTGTTAATGGGTTCCTTTACGGTACAGAATATTTTAGTAAAATCTCTTATAAAAGACATAAAAACATAACAAATGACTCTTTTTGTTTCTGCTATGTTTTGTCATAATCAATATGTGTCATTTGTGTTAACTCTAGAGGGGAGGTTATCATAATTGTATCGATCCAATTATGAATTAGTTAGCTGATCTAAACATATGTGAGAGATTTGATCTAAATCACAGACTGCTAACGACACTCCAACTGTCATTCCAGTGTGACTTAATAATAAAAACCACCAGTAATGCAGGAAACTTTGGAAGAGACTCAAACTCTAGCTACCTCCACTGTTGTGAGACTGCTTCCTGCCACTATAGCAGTACTGTGCTTTGACCCGCTGCTGTCATCCAGAGATTGGTCGTGGGATTGGGTCACCTGTCCCTCCCCATAGTCCGCCAGAGCTCTCCTGTACACCCCCGCCAGACTCTGCCTTAACCGCCCCCTCACTCCCAGCCCAATGCAGAAGTACATCAGCGGGTTCACACAGCTGTTAAAGTAGCCGACACCCTTCGCCACAGGGTGCCAGATTTTCACCACCGTGTTCTTACTGTCCACCATCTTCACCAGCAGGAGGCAGTGGTATGGCGCCCAGCAGAGGAAGAAGGCAGCAACTAATGATGCCAATATGCGCAGGGGGCGGGACTTCCCTGTGAGGCGGGTTCGACGGATACCAATTGCGGCAAGGATGTAACAGATAAGGATGACCAGGAAAGGCATCATGAAGCCACAGAGGAAACGGATTGAGTAGAGAATTGGTTTAGCAATGGTGTTCCCCTCCTTCACCTCCATAGAGCACTTGCTCAGGTTGTTCTTCCCCAGGTAGACTTTGCGGTAGACAAAGTATGGAGTGCTAAAGATAATCGCTGAGCACCAGACGCAGAAAGCCACCACCCTGGCGGCCCATATGGTGCGACGCCGCTTGGTGAGGACGGGATGCCAGACGCAGAGGGCTCGGTCCAGACTGATCACAGCCAACAGGAAGACGGAGCAGAACATGTTAGCGTACTTGAAGAAGCCGTTGAACTTGCAGATGAAGGTGCCGAATGGCCAGTGGTCGAAGAAGAGGTTCTTGGTGAGGGATAAGATTCGCGTGATGCAGAAGATCAAGTCCGCTATTGCCAGATTCAACAGCCAAACGTTGGTTACATTTAGCTGAGGAGGAGGAAAAACAGAAGCAAAGCAATAATAAAAGTCAATAAAGAGGAAAACAGATGAACTGCTATTGCTTTGTATTATGCTCATACTCAAAGGGAGATAGACATGTTAAAAGTTAGTTTGTAATTCTTGTTTACACTGAGCTGATCCTTAGCAGACACAACAAGAATAGGACAATCAGCTTCAGGAAAATATTTCATTTTTATACATTTGTAACTCGTAATACTCTTTGAATCCACCTTGAGCTTGAATCTAACCACCCAGATCACCATGGAGTTCCCTGGGATGCCAAGCAGAACAGTCAGAGCGTAGAGGACCATGGAGACGTTTTTCATGATGGCTTCAGCGTCCTTAATTGATGCCTGGTCATTCTTGGAAGGGTTAAGGAGTGGAAAGGAGGCATTGAGAGACATTGTGTGGCTGGAAAAAGAGAATACAACACAGTCAAAATATTAGAAACTCTGGAGGGAACTTGTAGACCATTTACATGCACAAAAACCTATGACACACTACAGGAAAGGGAAAACCCCAAAAAGTATAATAGGGCCCATTTAAGTTTTTGTATTTCACAAGCCTATGGCTAGTTAGCTAGCTAAACTGGTTACTGAAAATAAACTAATGTGTACTAGCCAATCACAGCACAGCTGGGCTGTATCATGCAGTACACTCTGGTATTACACTACACTAGTGGCGCATTTCCACTACAGCGCGGAGCGTGGTTTAAGCCGTGCCGTGCCCGTTTTTGGTTGCGTTTCCACTAGGCGTAGTTCCGGCTAGCGGGTACTTTTTCACAGTTTTTCTGGCTCTCCAAAATCGAGGTTCTTTCCGGACCAACAACCGGGCTGAGTATGCTAAACTAGTGAGAGAATCGCTGGCAACTACAACAAAATGAACATATTTGACCGTGATTTAATTGTAATACACGTTTCAAAATGATGCCGAAGTAACAACATACTGATACCTGTTAGTAAAAACTATGAATTAATGCTTTGACAAGTCTGCAGACAGACGGCAGGTGAAAAACCTTTTAAAATGCGTGTTTTCTAAATCAGTGGTTCTCAACAGGCCTCGGGACCCACTTTTTACTTAGTCAATACATCGCGACCCAACATTTTGAAGCACTCAAATCTATTCAACAAAAAATCGTGCTGTAATATACGCTTTTCAGCATACAATATTAATAAAAGTGAAGTACAGTGCATATATCCCTTATATCCCTTCACAGAACTAAAGTATGCTTTTAAAAAAGGTTTAATGAGATGATGGAATCAAAGCTGAACTATATAAAAAGGCACACATGCTGAAAACCCAACTCCAGGGTCTGGGGGGATTCTCCCCTAGGAGATTTTTAGAAATACTAACATAAACTATGCATTCTGGTACACTCTGAGAAGAAAATAAATAAATCTATTACTAGCTACCCGACATATTAATAATATTTTATGCCATTGTTTGTTTTTCACTTTGTTCTGACATCTTGCTGCGAGAAGAGTAAAGAGGAGATAGTCTGTGTGACTTACTTTAAATTGTGGGTAAGGGTAGATAGCTCCCTTTGTTCTGTGACCTGTCAGTCATCAGACCGGGGCCGGGGGTCATATTTCATTATGTGTTGATTTCTATCTGAAGTTGTAACCATGGATATATAAAGAAGAGTTCTACCGCAAAGTTATTCTCCGTGGGGACTTCCGATTGGCCAGAAGACTCGAAAAAACATCAGCAAAGATATTTTATTGAGAAGATGATCACTATGTGAGAGAAGTTTTCAAAACCGTTTATGGTCTCCGGTACTTCCAGTCCAACGCCGACTGCATGCACAGCGTTAGAAAATCGGGCCTTCAAAATAAAAGTTTGACATTTCCCCCCAAAAAAATTCCAATTCCAATTTTTTTTTTTACATTTTTTTTTTTTCTTCACTCACACATCCGCGACCCACTCGAAACGGGTCCGCGACCCACTTTTGGGTCGCGACCCACCAGTTGAGAACCACTGTTCTAAATGGAGATCGGCTAAGCTAACGTTATATATGCTCCGACCATCCACACTCACAACAACGGCCTATACAGACATAAATAAACCAGCGACTGTATTCGCCATGACACAGACAGTCTGTGGTTTGTACTTGTTTAACTTTTGTCTAGTTTCTGAACAGATATGAAGAGCTGTGAGCTCTGAGGGCTGACAGCTAACGGCTGATGTTGGTTTTGTGTTTCGAATTGAAGATGACGTCACGGCTCCGCCTACACTGCGTTTCTATAGTTACTACCCCAGTTCCTAAACTGTAATGGAAACGCAGCATGAGGCAAGTGAGCCTGGCCTACCAAGGCCTAACTATACCGTACTAAGCCGTGCGAGGCCCTGCAGTGGAAATACGCCATAAGCTAGATTGTATGCACAAATAGGATAATAGTTACCCAATTAAAAAAGGAAAATAATTTTTTTTATAGGCAATACAATTACCATAACTCGCTATGTTTCTGTGACAGATACAAATTGTGTTTCTTTAAGTATGACCAGTTTAGTACGCACAACAGTTACTAATAAACCGAAACAAACTGGAACCAAAGGGGATAAAAAGGGTTCGCTTTAGCCGCACAGGGTCGGTGTGAACGCCGTTGTTTTAGATTACTTCCTCGTTTGCTTTCATGCTAAAAACTCCAAACAAGAAGAAGACGTGCAAGAAAAACATCTTTCAGTCAACTTGCAAGCATTTATTAAGCATTTATTTTCAGCTTTAATTCAATTATCCGTGTCACATTAACTGCTAAAAGGGACAACTAAGAGACCTTTAACATAATTACTGAATCTAAACAAGGGTGGCAATTAAAAATATCAGCAACAACTCATGGCATGACATCAGAGTTTTGTGTCTGAATACTATCAGACTATAGCTTTGTATGTATAGATTGTATCTAGTTAATATTGTATTGTATTTAAATGTAGTATAAAGTATTTGGCTCACGTTTAAACTGGACTTAAAAAGGCAATATGGACAAGAAGCCCTTTGTGTAGCTAGGATTCATTTTGTTCTCAGTCTTAAATGTATTGACGTTTAAGACTGGACAAACTCTATCTGCTATAAGCAAGACATGTAGAGATAAAACAAAATCAACCTTTCACTATAAGGTTAAAAGACAAATATGCAACATTTATGCTTGTATCTAAGTTTGTCAAGACCATGGCCAACATTTTCACATCCATGAAAAAAATGCCAGCCTCGCTGAATAAAACAAATAAATCAAGTAACACTTAGAGGTCATCAGGTTAAGAAGGCTCCATGGACTGTTTTGGGGGGAAATAAAAGTGTTTACCAGTTAAGTATCAAACATCCATGACCTAGCATCTGTCGGTTCACCCTGTCTGTTGCCGCACATTGGGAATGCAACAGATCATATGACCAACCCGGTATCACGGCAAGACGTGAACATGTGACGATTTACCATGCTGGGAGACGTGAAGATGTCACGATTTCGTCCCTTCAAACGTGACAGTTACACGGTATTGTTAACCAGTGGAAAAATAACCGGAAATTGACACGGTATTGTTAACCAGTGGAAAAATAACCGGAAATGCCAAGCATTACCCCGACGTAATGATTTATTTTTTAATAGTCACACTCGATTACGCCGATTTTCTTGTTGCCCCAGCTGGTCGACACCTCTTTTAGCAGAAACAAAGGCTACATTAATGTATTAAATCGATGTTAATCTATGCGTGTAGATGTGGAATTAACGGACGTGACGATGTACGATTGAGTTGCCAAGCAACAGCTTCGGTTCATGTTAATTTACAAACTCTTCAACTACAACCGTAGTTATATTTAAAAACATGTTAGAAGGCCTCACGAAATACTTTAATGCAAATTAAAATGTAAATGTGAAGGAATGTGTGTATAACAAAATACATCGGTGATAAACGAAACCGGAAACAGACGTAGGCAAGATCCTCAGCTCGATGATTGGATGGTTTAGCCGCAATGCATGCTGGGATTTGGTGTTTATGTGATTTTAAATCTGAAAAAGTTTTTTAAAAATACAATAATACTTTATTCCGAGTGTGCTTGCTTTTCTCTTTGAAAGTCATCACATAAAGGCATTGTAACACACGGTTCGGCTGCATGAAATATTACATATCTGCCGTAGTTCTTTATTTATAGAGCCCTGATGAGAAGACTTCTGGACAAACAGGAGAACTGCCGCCAAAACTGAAAACGTGACGTGGATCATAAATATATAAGCAGTTAAACAACATCTTACATTTATTTTCACACAATACGTCTCCTTGCAGTATCAACACTAATTCGGCTGACTTTTATATTTGATCCAATTGGTAGATAGGCTGTATTTACACCATAACGGTGCACAGCTGATAGAAAGGGACACCTGGTGGTTAAAGCACGTTATTGAATTGTATTATTTTATTATTAGATATTAATAGGAGGATGTGCAAAACAGACAAACTAATAAGGCTTAATTTAAACATTAAAGAGTACTTTAGGTTAAGGTCTTCTTTTGAATAAGAAAAAAGCTTTAAGAAGAATATGGAGGGATGAAACCCTCTTGAAACCGCAGGTCCTTCCTTCCTGCAGCGGTCAGACTTTACAACCAGCACTGCCCCTTGTAGACCCTCCTACACACACCACAACACAGACTATAACACCCCTTGCTGCTAAATACAAACCAACTTTGTGCAATATGTGCTATATGTGCAATATATATATGCCATTAATAACTGTATAATTTATACCTGGCCACTAAATCAATATATATGCCGTTTTGTTTTTTATCTGTATTTTTGAAAATTATGTAACTTTTTATCTTTTTTTTAGCATATTGTTGATTATATTATAACTTAGTACTTTTTTAGCATATTGTTTATTTTATTATAACTTAGTACTTTTTTAACGCATGTAAGATATGCAATACTAAGCTGTCTGTGGCTCTTTCCTGCTGTAACGCTGCACATTTCCCCTCTGTGGAACTAATAAAGGTATTCTGATTCTGATTCTTTAATGGTCACACATGCAGAGCACACAGCACACACAGTGACATTTGTATCTACAGATAAATATTAAGCCTGACAAAGTACTTAACGTCTAATATATTGCTTTCCTGCAATGTTAACTATGTTTAAGCACTTATTTGTTTATTATTAAACTGATATTATACATATGTATTATACTCTTATAAGACGTATGTAGATAAGAAATGTGCAGAATGACAGTTTAATGGTGGAGGTATACACACATATTGATAGATGTCTTGTAATGCACTGTTGAGGAACCTGCGACCCAAGTTTTTCATTCATTGCATAACTACACCGTAGTTGTGTATAATATGATATGTCAATAAACCTTAGCTTAGAAAATCTTGAAATCTTGAAAGGGATGTGCAAACTAGTCAATATATACAGTCTTTAATGAA